TTAATCGAATTGAATAATACAATAATGTAGAGATAAAACCAGAGAATTTACGAAATTTGCTAAGTAGTTCGTGCTACGTAAGATGACAATAAAGAATACACGAATAAAATAAAGCTAACTACAGTTAAGATTTTTGCGGACGTAGGACCCTAGTTCTGGACTGACTCTTTAAACTCTAACTCTAAAATTTTACAGCAGTATTTTTTGTTTCCTTTGGTTGTGCTACTGTCATATTTAGTTCTAGACTTAGAGATTATACCAGATTTGATCTCAACGAATACCAATCTCAATTTTTGTTATTCATAAACTCAATTACTTTGTTAATGTCATTTCACCTAGTTCACATCACCTCATTTAAGTTTTATTCTTGCGTCAAAATGTAGCCCCATCATATAAGATTGCTGTAGATCACACTAACTGATAAGATGTATTGATATGTATTATTATTGATGATTATGCCTTACCATAATCACAAATTGTATAATTTGACTCATTACTCCTGTTGAAGTTTTAACCGTGTTCGTTAACTATATTTCTAGGTATAGTTGCTTTTTTATCTTCATCGTCTTACATTTTTGGAATAGCTGCTTTTTTTTCTTCATAATTATCCATTGCATACAGAATATTTAATTGTGAACTAACATTAACAGTCCGACTTTGCTTAGGCCCGCGTTCCGTGTCAGCCTGGTCGGGCCGCAGCACCAGAGATCGCGATAAACCCACAATGGGCGCTGGCGCAACCTCCCACCCTCGTGGGATTTGCTTCCACTCAGCTATGTCTAATTACCCGCCAGCGTATGCAGCCAGGTGACGTAACTCGACATTTCGCACAACACCCAGCTCTTCAGAAGCTGACTTTATAATTTAAAACAACCAAAGTTCTCCAACCGCCTTTCAACTTTAACTGTCGGACACAAAATTCAATTTCATTTACCGATGTTTTATATAAATATGGTATATTTAAATTTGCGGTAACCACACATTTTACTTCACAGGTTCGGGCTAATTGCACAGAACTCATAAAATTTTGTGTCATTGAAGAAAATTGATGATTTCGTCCATCCGCGTGTAGAAGGACGCTGTCGTCACGACAACTAATTTGTTTGTGCACGTCGTTATTATAATGTAAAGGTTGTTCGTTATGTTTGATGGATTTTAATAAAATCTCTGATATTGATTAAACGACATCATCTATTGGATAAAATTAAAATTTTAGTTTTATTTTTCTTAGATACCTCTCTGACATCGATAGGTTGATTATGTTAGTCACGACCATTTTTATATTTACTTTACTGGATATATTCCTAGCATTAAGTTGTTTAAGTACTAAATTTAAAATCTATATATAACCAAACCACATCAATCAGTCTCTCAATGAAATGTTGCCTTTAAGACTGAAAACACCTAATTGAAAAGTTTCTATGAAATTAATGTTCCTTCTCTTTGCCGGCCACCGTCCAGTTTACTAGGGCATTAAGAATAGGCACATGTTTAACAAGATCCGTTGCTTCATCGAACAATCGCACACGAGAGGCGTTCCCTTGCGCTCCGCTGGTCATCCGTGGAAAGGGGGCTATACAGGGCGGCCCGAGCGTAGCGCCCGCAACGACGCCGCATTGTCCACGTTTCCACATCACATACTTCAAAGTAACAATCTCGAGCGCGACTTGGGAATGTAATTTAAGCTTAGAAGCCACAAAGTTTATGGAGATACAAAAAGTTACAGCAGAATCAGTATGGTTACAAGAAAACAAATTAAGATAAATTAATGCTCCCACTACCACTGCTGACACTATAACACAACACTGTAAATTTCGTAACGCTTGAAATGAAATCACCCAACTACAGAAACGCATCACCAAAGGCCAATTGTAAAAGTCTATGTATCGAAACTGATTGAGTGATTCATTTAAATGATTTGCTGTGATAGACGACCCTGTATTTCTAATACAATTGCGCTCAGAGACTCAGCTGAATTCACGACATTACCTTGTTATATTTTTAACACACAATAGGCTTTTAAAATAGGCGGCAAGCTGACAACGTGTCAGAAGTTTCACTGCCTCTGAAAGTGGAACTGAATTAATATATTTTCTTTGTGAATGTTTCAGATTCTCTCATGCATCGACCACTGTATCACTAAGTAGCGGCGCTAGAAACGAAATTGATTCGATGCGTTAATTTTCATTTCGATCATCTACGGCTAGCTGGGCGTCTTGGAACACTAACGGTTCCGGTTATTTATCCTCGTTTTTAAATTGGCCTTTGTGTAGGATGAGAATGTGGTATCAAGCGGAGCATCGCCCTTCTGTGGTAATGTAGCGCAATATTTTATAATTGTTGCATCTTGTCGTGTCGTCCGCGGGTTGAGGCGCGAGGAGAGCAGGGTGGTTGTGCAACGCCTCGGCCCGGCTGCCACACCCCGCCTCTGAACTATGACACCTCTCTACCCGCACATCTAAACACATCACCTCTTGCGAAAACCTTCTTCTTTAATTTTTGGCAATTCATTGTTATCTTGCATTAACCGTTTCTGGTAAACACCTACCAACGCAAGTCATAGATCTTCTTTTGCATACTGTCTGCATATAATCAAACTCAAAACTGTTGCATCAGTCCAGGCTATTACGACATTGCTTAGAAAATTTTAGAGAATAACAAGAGTATACAAGGCAAATTTAGTCATTTTCTTTCCTGTTTTATAAACTTGAAGGTCACGCAAATAAATCCTGATCAACTTCTCAATCAATAATACTGATATAAATCATGTCGCGAATTGGAATCTACAAAAACCTTTTCGTCAGCAATGGTCCGTAATATTGATAAACTTCTCGACTCGAATACGCCGATTGATATACCCTTTAGGTAACATAAGTTGCGTAAACAATCTGAGCAATTAGAAAATGTTCATGATAATTCAAGAGAAATAACTTGTGTATAGAAAGCGTGTGTGCTGTGCTGGCTAGCACGCCGGGAGTCGGGTCGGGCTCATCTTTCATCGGTCGATTGTCTCCGTGGTTACGTAAACACGGCGATCGGTTGCAACACGCGCATTTAGCGGCACGGTGGAGCACATGTCCTAACCAGCTAAAGATTAATCAAAGACGGAAGTGGATCATCCGAGCCTTTCTAGGATATCCAGAGCTGTACATGATTGCGTTCACTCGATGCTTTTGTAATGCATTCGCTTACCAATAAGTGAATCAACAAAAGACGGTCAAATGTTTTGTTGAACATTTAATTCTAAGAATGATCGCCATTCATCAGATCTTCCAAGTATTTTGTTCACAAAGACTAAAACATCAATAAACCTATATAGTGAATGAAAAATGTTACACTTAAATTGTTTCTTTTCTGTAGGCATAAATGAATAAGTGAATATGTTCTCGTTTAAAGATATAAATAAGTTTTCAGCCTAAAATATTAGTTTTAATGATGTAGAGAAAAATAACCATGTAAAAGGTACCTGCTATAAACTATAACGATGATGACGAGGAAGAACGCTTCCTCTCTCTGAATACGTCATTCGTTTTAGTATCATGTTTGCCATGCTCGCAAACAGTTTTGCTGGAGGGAATCTAAATCCGTACGTTTATTTTAATAAGATATATGTAAAGTCTCAATGCTACACGGTTGCATATACTTATGAGTGCCGACTCGTGGCAGCGTTCAGGCGTCAGCAAACGACCCAATTAGTGAGCTTCCGTTACTCTAGCTAACGTCGGACACGTGTTCCTCATTCTTATTTTAGATCACGGTGTCAAGAGGTCTTTTAATCTCGCGTTTGTCAATATTTATGCGTAGCTTTAGTCAATGTTTGTAAGCAAGCTATAAGTTAAGATTCTTTATTAGAATTTTTAATATTGGTCGTTAGTTCTTATCTGTATTTAAAGTTTTTTTAATAATCCTAACACAAATCTAAATATTTCATAAATCAATCGTAATTTGATGTGATCTCGTGGATCTTCTGGATTCGTTATTATTGACTCTACTTTTTAGCAATTCACGTGTTTTTTATATCAAACTGAGTTCAAATTTCAGGTGGATTGAATAGTTTAGAGTTACGTGCTGTAATGTAACAAAGGAATAAAAGTGGGATGGTGACGGGTGAATAGCCAGCCTTGGGTGGTTGCTTTATGCAAACCTGTTCCATGCAGAGAGGGATTTCTTGTTTGTGCTCTTCACACGCTTACTTTGGACCGGTTTTTTTATAACTATGCGTTGAATCGAAAGGCCTTTTATTGTTAACCAAGTATCTAATGCGAAATATTATGTATCCGATTCTGTGACATTCGACTTCTTATGAAGCAATTCTGCAAGCGTTGCCAATATGTTTTTATTGCCTTCGTCTGCATTATCTACGCGCGCCTATTTGTTTTATGTTTTGTCGCACCGCCTTGACAAAACCACAGCGTACTAAATGAATTGTTGTCAACATCGCTGTTTACAAAGCCGGGTCTTCGTTTTATTTCTGTTCTTGTTTGATGGTTATTTATCGTTCCGAGCGCGTTTTAGAAAGGTGTTTTAGTGAAAGAATTGTTGTTTAGCAGGTGGTCCCTTTCGAAAACCACTCCCGAGGGTTGCGGGGTGTCCGGGGGTCCCGGGGCGGGGGGACTTGCAGTTCTTGTGTGAAACCGGTCTTTCTTTAGTGCGCCTGCACCGTCATTGTGAAAAACCATTTCAATACATTCCTTTGGCGTTGGTTAATAGAGCTATATGTTCTGACTCATCATACATGTCTATCACTACCTTTTATGGAAACACAATCTGAACACTATAAAGTTAACTTGCTTTCCGCACTTTACAAGAATCTTGGTCAACATATAATTATCACAAATGTTTTTATGTAAATTAAGTTTCAATTTGCCACTTTCCAACAATGATACGATCCTTGGAGTCACACGCTCGATCGATAATTATCCACCGTTGCCGACGTTCAAGTTCAAGGGGCGACGGAGGACGCTGCGACTCGGAGGATTCTCGGAAGGGAGGAAGCTCACCTTATCTGTGTGTGGCGGCTAGAGGACTCGTGTGCTGAGCGGCGGCGGACTGAGCGGACGCGCGTTCATGCTCGCGCGGTCGACGACCTGCGACCTGCGGCGGGGTAACTGTAGTACACTTCACTTCACTCGCGACACTGGCACGTCTTCTCGGCGAAAGAGCGCGGGAGCAACTGAGCTGTCCGCTCGGCGCCGCTCGCCGCCGCCGCGTGCGCCCGCGGCCTTGACCGCCCCCCGCGCCCCACACCTCACCCCGCAGGCATCCGCCGCGCCGGCGCATCCTCCGCAACCCTTCCGAAGCTTTCGATCCACTACCGTTAGCTGACGACCCATCACCTTTTTGTTGACAAAATCTCAGGTTCAACGTTCTTCCACCCGCGATGAGCGATAGTCGACCGCGTTTTAATGTCCGCATCTGCATCGGCCGCTCTAAAATCGCGGATTGAACAAAAGTAACGGGACACGGCCGCAGCCGCCGCTCAGAGTGGTTATCGTGACTGTCGTAATCGGTGGTGATTGCTGCTGCATCAATCATGTCATCAGCTCTACGAGAGCCTGTATTGTAGACGCTATTAATAATATATCGGTTGCTTCATTGCGATCGTTGTGATTGAAATTTATTAGGTTTGTTTTATTGGAATCAGCTGTACCAGCAATCTTCGCGTGTGGACTTCATCTCCACTTAATATATTATCAGGAGAGGTGGAGTAATTTATCTTATATATTTATGAAAAAAGGAACCCACTTTCGACATGTAGAGTTCAAATAGAACAATTAAAAATTAACTTACAATGCTTCATTTTACAGAATTAATCAAACCGGTAGGTAATGCATTTTTTAGTCTTGGTATAAAAAATATACTTATGTATATAAATATGCTTATCAATCAAATAAAAATTTAGCTTGTGTAAAAGGGACTTTCAGATCATTAATCCCAATTCCCTATACTATCCAAAATAAATCAACCACAAAGCTGTTTAACAGGCTAAAACTTCTGAGATAAAAATAAAGTCAAGCCCTCAGATAATGATGACCCTTAATGCAAGCATGACTATAACTACTATAAAAACTTAATGGGTTTCCGTAAATAGTACACTTTATATGAATGAATCTAAATGATTCACGTTAATGTAAATCCATTATTGCCACTAGTCATAGAATGTATTAAGTTCAAAGGTTTAAACCACTAAATTGTATTATTAAATTTAACAAGCGATTTTTGATAGACCCGAATTGGACAAGTCACCATGATAAGGTGAGTTTGTTTCATCTATTTTATTGGGCGAACCCAATTCGAATGACGGCCGCATCCAACAGGAATATAATTGTGTGTTGGATGTGTGTCAGGAGTGACCCACCTACCGCAGTGAGTACCTACGGCATTCTTGTTGCGTAAACCAATCTTGACCGAGGAAGTGCGATGTACCTCACGACACGTGTTGTTGTGTACCATCAACTAGTTGATGAGACCTAATCAAAGATCTATCTTTAGACCGAAATGTGACAGAAAAAATGATCTAGCAAGGGACTTTTTGAGCATGACAGTGTTTATTTAGAGAACCGTATTTTAGCGTGATTAAACAAACAAAGGAAGAATTGCCTTTTCAAAAACATTAGATGAAGCATAATCTTTTACCTGGTCAGTCCAAATTGATAAATGTAAAGAAAATTTTACTAAAAGCAATTTACTAACGCTAGATCAGGAGATATAGGTATAGTTGAAGATAGAACTCGGATAGGCTTAAGATGAAGTGAATCACTTCTATAGTATCTCTAAAAATGTACCATATAAGGGTGATGCTTTTAAATCATCCAAGATGATTTAAGTATCTGTACCTATAACACAATGAGTACATTCGTCTTTAATATTCTGGAACTGAGAGACTGCAACTGCTGTAGTGAAGTATATACGCAATATTTCGGCCTAAATTGACGTAGTCACGTGGAAATCTTCAAATCATTGTAATGTGAAGTTGATAAGTAAGAACGAGCGTATGGAGGGACATGTCACGCGTAGTCCCCGTGCTGTCACTACCGGTACTACGCACTCACGAACATTTATTAGATAGTAGAGACCCGACGTTCAGAGCGAGGGACGAGGCGGCTGCCAGCGCGCGTCGACGGCCGAGCGGCGAGCCAAACCATGACCTATAGAGGAACGAACTTCCTGAAAATATAAACCAACCTTCTTTAGAATTCATTAGTAAATCAAGCATCGATCGAAATAAAACATTTCATATCATAATTTTAGTTGATCGTGGGGACTGTTCACTGATTGGAAAATTTGTGGATTGGGTTATATTTGTTTTTAATATAATTCACTAACATGGAAGTGTATGTATGTTGTCGGAATAATTTGATTTGCTTTGATTATGCCGTCCCTAAACTATGATCTCGTGACGTATGTAATTTTTGGGTCATTGTTCAATCTGATCGAAAGCTCAAGTAATTTTGCAAAATACACGCTAATAATCACAAAAGAAAGAAAAAAAAAGGACAGAATACAACAACAAAGTACACGTATAACGCACGTAAAAGTGAAATAATGTAAACACTTTTATTTTATCAATTTCAGATTTCAAATGCAGTAAACTTAATTTTCGTTTTAAGTTCTTCAATTTGATATTATTTGATACATTTTATCACTTATTATATACATTTCATTGCCGTTATTATATCATCAAGAGCTGCATTGTTCCAGAGCTCTATTGACTGTCGCTGTATATTTTGATATTCCAGTATTGTGTAGTCTCTTGTCAACTAAGTGTCACAAAATGCTCCATTGTTATCGTTATCGTCTATAATTTCAGTTAACAACTCAACTTCTAATACTATTCATGCTCTTATTACAGGATAGAGGATATCACTTAGCCATATTGTCTTTTATCTTCAGGCTTAAAATTAATACCACGTAATATTGATCTAGTAATGTACCTCATTACTACTGCTACAAAAAACGTGGTGTAAATTTCGAAACCAAATAAGGGATTATAGCTATTAACGGGATTGTTACCATGTACCTTGTTTTTTATGAGTCTCCGATATTTCGGCACTGTTGCAAGCGCCATGATCACGGAGTAACTTCAAATAAGGGAGATTATCAATACATTTGATATTTTTAGGTTGACTATCTCAATCGGCAAAAACGGAACTCTTATAGGATCACTCGGTTGTCTGTCTGTAACAGCCCACTTGCTCGGAATATACTGAAATGATCAAGTTGCGGTATATGATATTTGATACGGCAAACACGGACAAATAAAGCATATAAATAAATTTCAAACATGAGTGAATTAGAAAATAATAAAATCGAGATTTAGCAAAATGTAAACATAACATAACATTATATAACAAAATAATAATAAGATAGGCTGTTGATGATTGATGTCCAGCAGTGGACTAAGATAGGCTGTTGATGATTGATGTCCAGCAGTGGACTAAGATAGGCTGTTGATGATGATATAGCAAAATGGTATGTTTTGTTTAGGATAGATAGATAAAAAATTACCGCCCCTTATTTATTATATTCAAAACAAAAACGTCTTAAAATTTGAAAATAAAAATGTGAATGTGGAGTGTGAAAAAAATGGAAGATTGTAGTTTATGTAGATTACAGGAAAATCTACAAGAAGTTTTATAGTGCGGACGGAACGGAACCCTTTCCAGGCGGGTTACGAGTTACGCACGCCGGGGCGCCGCGCCGGCCACGTATAATATATGACAGCTGATTTAAACAAAAAAACAAACCGGTCAAGTGCGAGTTCAACTCGCGTGGTTATTTATTTAGGTTAATTTTTAGGCGCTTTTGTCTCCAAAAGTTCACGTCATCGGATTATTTTAAATCTCGTCAAATTGAATTTTACATGTTTGATTAGTAATGCTGGCTTGGCCATGTAAGTTATAAAGTAGCTGATGTTACTCTTGGTACATATATATAAAAACAGAAACATACATAGTATCTTACATGTTATTTTTCGCTGCGATAATTTATAATAAAATACTTATCCTTTTTCTTTATGAATTTCATTTATGTTATAATATATGGATCAAAGATGTCTTTCAAGCGTATCCCGTGGTTAAGTTGAGTCTGATGTGACCAACATTAGACTCATTTCAGTCGCTGTAAACTTTTGATTTGTCATATTCCATACCCAGGAAAAATGGAAATTTATTCAGAACTATCCCAGTGTCCAATTTTCCCGGGAAAATTACGAATATTCTCGTAAACGTACAATGGATTATTGATCACTTTTTTAAATGTATTTGCATCAGTATAACGTGATCAAGATCGTAGATTATGATCATTAGATTATGTTAGGAAACATAAGTTCCGATTTGGACCGTGCGCCCTAAGACTACCATCCTTGGTATAAACAAGGCTTTTGTTTATAGACGAAGGTGTGAATAAGTCTATTAAATTTCCTGTTACTCTCTAGCCTGTTTCAAATCCCTAGTTAAGGAGCATTTCTTGTCAGATGAGCATAATTTTCATTAAAGTATTGCTACGGTAGTAGTACTGTTGCATTATTTTGCGATATGTGTGAATGTTTGTGTATGCCTATATGTTTAGTTTGCGTTTATTTTAATTATTTTCAATTGAGTACTTACAAAACTTTTGTCTTGTATTCCGCACAACCTCCCTCATTATTATTATCGTGCTTTCTACTTTTTCCAGCTCATTGGGTTGTCTGGAAGAAATCGCTGATTAGCGATAAGACCGCCCTTTGTGTAACTGTAATTGTTTTGCCTTGTATTTGTATTTTATTCGTGTTATTTATGTCACTGTTGTGCAATAAAGTATTATTATCTTATCTTACTCTCTCCAAGCTCTTGTTAATTATATCGTTCCCTTTAGTGCGGAAATTTAACTTCTTTGTAATCCTCATTTCACCACTTATTAACCGCCCTCTTGTCAATGTCACAAAAGTGCCACAAGATCTTCGTCACACTGTACATCACTTCTTTCCATAGACCAGCAATCGAGATTTGACAATAACACAACACTCAGCTATCAGCTCGCCACATCTCGCCGTCTGACGCCGTCCGCGCGTGCTTTCCTATATTCTTATCATGATAGCGACGGATATTTCGTGATCGACCTTGTAGGAAACAATTTCATGTATTCATTAATTGGGCTGGTGTTGCAGTTTCTTTTTATTCGCTGTCAGCTGTTGGGAGTACTGACTCACTTAATATTTCTGAGTGTGAAGATGACGACATAGTGTAAAGGCAAAGTTTATCATCTTTAAATATTAAAAACGTTAAAAGTATTTGTTTTGATAAAAATGATTTTCTTTTTCATACATAATGTGCATTTTGGTATAAATATCAATATACTTTTTTTTATTTTCAAAATACTTATTTAAGTGGCTTACACATATTTGATGATAGACAGCATAATTTATTTCGCGAATTTTTTTGTAGAACCATTTAATAGATTCATTTCCACTATATATTTTTACATGTAAGTTTTAAGGATTTTGCAGCGCACGCCAATATGACACGCAACTGGGAGATTTTTCCCGCCTTACGTGACATTTAATTGTTCCGAAGCACTCAATAACTTCGTAAAATATTATTATAAAGTATGAGCATTTAGTAGTTTTTGTGTAAAAGAGTAACAAAGTCCCATTCAAAGGTAAGATCGAAATTAAAAGCGCAAGTGGTTGATATAACCTTAAATTGTTGAAGATCCTAAACATTTTCATAAATTTAAAAATGACATTAGGTTTTTTTCCATTCTGAAAAAAACAGAAAAGTGGGAGCCTCGTCGAATATTTTGTATGTAAGGACGTGCATTCAGGTTTTCTGATCAGGAAACCAAATCAGGAAACCGTAACCGTACGTGCGCGCCTAGTATGAGAATGGATTTGCAATCCTTGACAAAAAAAAATTTGGAATGCCACCACTA